ATCGAGCTCTGATCTTCCCAAGTTGGCTCCATCTTGTGTACTCTCATTTCCCTGGGTGTTGTCATTATCTAATTACTTGAACAACCCAGAAGCCTAGAAGCCAAACTTGCCTTCTCCCTCCCGGCCATGCTCTCTGAGCTGCACCAAGTTCTATCCATTTTACCTCGGGGTTTCTCTCAAACCAGTACGTCTTCCAATATTTTCTATCCAGGCTATTTTCCTGGCCCAAGCCACCAACCCCCTCTCTTAACTGGCCTTCCACCTCTACTCTTGTCCTAAAGTGATTGCCTTGAAATGTAGATCCGATTATACCACTCTCTTCCTAAGCACCCCTTCATAACTTCCCATGGCTTTTAGTATAAAAAACAAAATTCTTAACATGGTCCCCAAAGCCCTGTCTGGTCTAGGCACGTGCTGACCCCATTGCCTCACTCCCTGCCACACTCTACTATGTTTTCTGAGATCCAGCTTCATTGGTCTTCCTTCTGTCTTTTCACCCACCACATGACCTTTGCACATGCCATTCCTCCTTATTGGAATAGTCTCCTTGGCCTAGTGAACTCTCCTTTATTCTGTCTCTGCTTACCTGACTCCATTTTGGAGGAGCTTTCCTTATTAGAATTATTGGAATAGTCTCCTTGGCCTAGTGAACTCTCCTTTATTCTCTCTCTGCTTACCTGACTCCGTTTTGGAGGAGCTTTCCTTATTGGAATTATTGGAATAGTCTCCTTGGCCTAGTGAACTCTCCTTTATTCTGTCTCTGCTTACCTGACTCCGTTTTGGAGGAGCTTTCCTTGATACTCTAGACCAACTCAAGCTTCCAACATTCCTTTGTTGGCTCCATGGCCCTCTCCTTCCTCGCATTTATGACAGTATTAATTTGTCACTTTTGTGGATGATCATTGGATTCTTTCTCCCCTCCGCTCCAGACTGTTCCAGACTGTAATCCCCATGGCGATAGGATCTGTTTTTCATTTGTTCTGTCTTGGGTCCCCATTGCCCGGCACCCTTCCTACCACATCACAGAGGTTCAAAAAAAATGGTAAAATCAATAACTGCATGCCTTTTGCTTTCTAACTTCTCCCTCCTGAAATGTCTGTCTCTCACCTGATTCAGCTGTGGCCTGCACCAAAGGCTTACTAACGATTATTCCTGGCTCATACAGCCCTTACACTGATATCCAAGCTTATGAAGCTTTTTATATCCTTTACACATTTTGTTGGTTCTCCCTCAGGAGGGCCTGCTGGAACGTCTAGGAACGGGGCTTTGGGGGGTGAATGTCATCGAAAGATCTCATCCAGGGGCTTCTGGTCCGCCAGCTGCCTTGCAGAGATGGGGCAGGAGGACCCTCCTCTAAAACTCAGGGTAATTTCTTGGGATGTGGGGATACACTCTCACCAAACACTCTTCCCAGGAGCCCTACTCTGTATCCCCTCTCTCCCTGTCCCTCCCCAGCTCCCTCAGGCTTCAGGGAATGCATATTTATAAAGGAAAGAACTGCCTTTTTTTACATGTGTTGAAAAGAGCAGATCATCAGACCTAGAGGAACAGTACACTGCTGTTAGCTTCCTGTGGAACCGCCGAACTCCTTTCTGGGGTGTATTAATTCCCTAACCCTTGAGCTGAACGTGTAGCTGAGCAATAATTGCCTGTGTCTCCAGACCAGTCCATTTCCCTGCCAGTGGGCACAATGCAGACGCTGAGAAGCCCTGAGGTGGCATCTTGGCACAGCGGGGCCACCGAGTCCCCCAGCGTTTGCTGCGGTCCCAGGGACAAGCGGGTCTCCACGGCAGTGAGTGTTTCCAGCTAACTTCCCTCTTAAATTGGCACATTCTCTGTGAGCTTTCCAGACTTCGCAGTGTGTCTCCCTGTTTGGGAACAAGTTCCATCATCAACTAACTGGAAAAGACTAGCTCTGTGGTAATGGGTGTCTTTCAAATAGCTTAACACACAAGAAATAGGGCACAGAGGTCCAACCTGCTTCTGACGTCATCACTTAAATACACAAGCCTGAGGTGTTCCCAGTGGAGAGGATCATCTTGAAACATGTTCAAAAAACACACTGTGTTGTCACTCCCTCGGCTTTTTATCTGCACTTCGGTTATCCGGATGTGCAGATAGATTATTCGAATTTTTCTATTCTAGATTAATTTACCTAAACAAATCTGTATTTCACAGACTTCCATCATGTTGAATTGTTATTTTTTATTCTTAAAATGTTTGGTCAAATCGTCCACATTCTAGGAGGCTGAATGGCAGCTTTGTAACTGACTTCCTTGCTTTTAGAATGACTAACCTTTCCTGATTGCCCAAGACGGAGAGGGGTTCCCAGGACATGGGATTTTCAGGGGGAAAACCAGGAAAGCCTGGACCAATCAGGACAAACAGGTCACCCTACTACCATTTTACCCTTGATAGGAGAGTAGCTAGACCCAACCAAAGGTAATTATCATTCCTTGTCTCTCCTGCTTTATTGGGTGGTAGGAATTCCCTGAAGCCATTACCTTGCTAAGCTACTTCTCTTTCTCTCTTTAGTATAACAGCTTTCCCGAGACAAAATTACCATCACATGTGATTCACCCATTTAAAGTGTGCAATTGGATAGTTCTCAGTATATTCATGTAGTTGTGCACTCTTCACCCCAGTTCTGGAACATTTTCATAACTCCCCAGATACACCCTGTACCCACTGGTAGTCATTCCCATCATTTCCCGGATCCTCTCCATTGGCAACCCCTGGTCTGCTTGTGGTCTCTGTAGCTTTGCCTTTTCTGGACATTTCACGTAAATGGAATTATACAATATGTGACCTTTTGCTTCTGTTTTCTTTCCCTTAGCAACCTGTTTCCAAGTTTCTTCCATGTTACAACATGAATCAATATTTCATTCCTTTATACGACTATGATTCCATTGCACGGGTATACCACGCTTCATCTATTTCCTCATAGGTTGGTGGGCATCTGGGTGGTCGCCGTCTTTTGACTATGATGGATAATGTTGCTATAATTACTCATGTACAAGTTTTTGTGTGGGCATATGTGTTCATTTCTCTTGGAATTTCTGGGTCATGCGGTAACTCTGTTATAACCCTTCTGAGGAGCTTCCCCCAGACTTGTTTTCCAAAGTAGCTGGACCATTTTATATTCTCATCAGTAGCGTGAGATGTTCCCGTCTCTCCATGCCCTTGCCAACACTTGTGACTGTCCCAGTGGATGTGAAGTGGCATCTCACAGTTTGATTTGCATTTCTCTGATGACCAAAAATGTTGAGAATTTTTTTCATATACTTATTGTTAAACCTCTTAAGTGGAAAATTATAAAGGATATTTATAAATAGCTGATTTTATGCACTGGGCTTATGATATTTTTTAAGGAATTTATTTATTTATTTGACAGAGAGAGCACAAGCAGGGGGAGTGGTGGGCAGAGGGAGAAGGAGGCTCCCCACTGAGCAGGGAGCTGGACACGTGGCTTGATCCCAGGATCCTGGGATCACACCTGAGCCCAAGGCAGATGCTTAACCAGCTGAGGTTAAGTCGGCACCGCTGGGTTTAAGATTTTTACTAAATATTGAAATAGGATGTTCATAACCAATTGCTGTTACCTCAAATCATTCTATGTAGACGTACATTTCAAAGTGTTATTTAAACCATTGACTTTTCCTGGCGACCAGAAGTGATCCCAGGGTAAGTCCATCTCTCATCTGCTCTGATGTTGGGCCATTCTCTCCATCAAGCCTTGCTGCCCAAGGGGCTGTCTTCTTCTGGAGCCAACGGACTGTGTGTTGACTGAATGTAGGCCTGGATATGCACCCCTGGTGTTCTCTTTCTTGATTAACTTCCTCAAAGTGCTGGATATCCAGTCATCCCTCCTACAATTTGGGCTCTGTGGCCTTCTGGGCACTTTAAACACCTGTTCTTGCTTTTCCCTTAGCTCTCTGATTTGCGGCTACTACTTTCTCCATATCTCCTGTTCACTCTATATGCTCCTCCGTCGGCTTGTTCCCTCAAACCTCCCCTAACAAATTCCAAAAGGATCCAAAGCCCTCTATTCCATCTCCTGTCCTCGCCTCCTCTGCCTCTTTGACAAACTGGTTTTCTCTCAGGAAACGGCCTGATTCGGCAGAAAAGGGTGGCATTCTGAGCAAGACCACTGAGAAAAGGGTCCCCTTGAGAAAACATGCTCTCTATCTGGAATATGTTTTGGGGTTCGAGAATAGCAACTAGTGGTTTTCTTCTTTCTAGAGGGGCCCTGGCCGTGGTTGTGTTGCAGTTACCTACCATTTCTGTAAATGTCTGCGGAGGACCCCACTCACTGGCCCAGCCTGATCAGCAGATACACAGAAATACTGTTTCCACATTTTATTTTATTAAAGAGTTCATTTATTTATTTGACACAGAGAGACTGTGAGAGAGGGAACATAAGCAGGGGGAGTGGGAGATGGAGAAGGAGGCTTCCTGCTGAGCAGGGAGCCCAATGGGGGGCTCCATCCCAGGACCCTGGGATCATGACCTGAGCCGAAGGCAGATGCTAAATGACTGAGCCCCCCAGGATCCCCTGTTTCCACATTTTAAAGCCATTATTGCCTGATATGAATGGGCGTAGTGGCCACTATGTTGCAGTTTGGCAGAGGAGACAAGTGTAATAAATAGTGTAGTAGTAGTAGTAGTAGTAGTAGTAGTAGTAGTAGTCGTCGTCGTCGTCGTCGTAGGAGTAAATGAGCCAGGCAGTGTTCTTAGCAGTGGAGGCAGAGTAATTCCAGTCCAGGGAGAAGTGGGCGTTTACCCACTTCAGAAGAAGACGGAGGCCAGCGCAGGGTAACGGCGTCCCCTTCACATGCAGAATGGCCCTTCATGCCTCCCTTTCTCCATTGTTCCCACAGGGATGTCCCCAAGGATACACCCCTTGGGACACCCCTGCCATTTTCAGCCCTGACCGAGGAGATGCGGGGTTCTCCCGCGCACAGGGTGGCAAGCGGCGCTGGCCGGCTTGTGTCTTTCAGAGCCAAGGCGCCGGAGAAGGAGGAGAAGCTGAGACGCGCGGTCAAGCAGGTCCTGAAGTGCGACGTGACCCAGAGCCGGCCTCTGGGCGCCGTGTCCCTGCCCGCCGCCGACTGCGTGCTCAGCACCCTGTGCCTGGGCGCCGCCTGCCCCGACCTCCCGGCCTACCGCGCCGCGCTCCGGAACCTCGGCAGCCTGCTGAAGCCGGGGGGCTTCCTGGTGGTGGTGGACACCCTGAAGAGCAGCTACTACATGGTCGGCGAGCGGCGGTTCTCCAGCCTCTGCCTGGGCCGGGAGGCCATAGAGGCTGCGGTGAGGGAGGCCGGCTTCTCCATCGAGTGGTTCGAGGTGATCTTCCAGAGCTACTCCTCCACCATGTGCGACAACGAAGGGCTCTTCTCCCTGGTGGGGCGGAAGCTGAGCAAAGCTGTGTGACCTGCTGTGGTTGCGATTAAAGCAATTCCTCTGCCTGGCGCAGTTAACTCCGGTCCCTGGTTCTAACTGCCACGGTCACAGTGCCGAGGGGAGCGGAGCGGCTCCTAGGGGACAGGGTGGGCACGGTCGGTGGGCGGAGGAGCTTCTGGGTGACCGCGGGCTCCCGCTTCCCAGGTGTGCTATGGGGACCCAGAGATGAGCAACCCGCACGACCGGTCTTCGCCACCCATGACTAGAAAAGGAGACCTCCTTCTCCTGAAGCACCCCAGTCATGGCCACTCAGGGCCCACACACCTGCAGAGCAGTGTCTGCGGGGATGAGCTCTCCTCCCTAGGGGGCCTGCTGCCGCCTCCTCTCTCAGGAGCATGCTTCTCCTGATTCTCATCAAACTCCTTCTCTGGGGACCCCATCCTCTGTTGGGGTCCACAGGTGCCACCACCACATCTGGGGGCAGAGCACAGCCATGCCCTTTGTTCCCGGTCCTAAGTATGCGGCGGGCCCTTCTCCCCCTTCCTTTAACACACTAGGCCAAGGCTGTGACTTCCACCTGAAGAGAAGGTTGGGAGTTTGCAAGAGACGTAACAGGGGCTGTCTCACAGTGGCTATTAGAAACAGGTATCTTCAGAGTTCACATCCTTTGGGGGTTCTGGGAAGTGGCCCTTTATTTTTTTAAGATTTTATTTATTAGAGAGCATGGGCTGGGGAGAAGGGGCACAGGCCCAGGGAGAAGCAGACATCCTGCTGAGCAGGGAGCCCGACTCCGGGCTCGATCAGGACCCTGGGATCATGACCCAAGCTGAAGGCGGATGCTTAATTGACTAAGCCCCCAGGTAGCCTTCCAGCACAGCTCTCAGACAAGCATCTACTTGGAGTTAGGCTTACCTGCCCATGGCAGGTCTACCTTCCCTGGTCCCCAGGCCCCATGGCCATGATGCTCTAAACCAGAAGGAGACAAACTATGGCCCGTGAGCCGAACCCGGCTTGCCCATCTTGTGAGGGTCTATTGGAAAGCACCCATGGCCGTTCATTTACAAAGGGTCTATGGCTGTTTGCCTGCTCTAACGGCAAAGCTGAGTAATTGTGACAGCAACCCCAGGTATGGCCAGCAAAGCCCCAAATATCTGCTATCTGGATATTTACAGAAGAAACTTGCCTACCCCTTCCCAAAAGAGAGGAGCATCCTCGTCTGCCAGGTCTGAGGCCCATCTCTCCAGTCTGTTTCTCATCCCAAGATTTCCCTCTCCCAGCATTCCTGACAGAGGATATGGCTGCTTGCCTCTCCCCCAGAGTCTATTGTCACACGTGCTTGTTCATTCGGTTGTATAGGCCCGTCACGGCCCAGTATCTGTCCATTTTCAGGAAGTTTTCAATTGTTCCATCTCCTAGGACATTCACACAATTTCTAGAGATTCCATCCTGAAGGACACTAACAGGCCAGGCCAGGCTGGATGGAGGAAGCCAAGTCCAGCTCTGTTCCTGTAAGCAGGCAGGGATGACCAGGCATGTGCCTCCTTTCTGCAAACAACTGCTCAGGCGAAAAGAGCTCACTTGACTCCCCAGGAGCCACCAAGGCCACAAAGATGGAACCAAGTTTGTGGAGAGAGGGCTCTCTTAAACCCAAGTTTACCCATTTACCCAAAGGCCATAACTTCTGAAACTTCAGGCATTTGGGTGACCTCCCAAAAGGATGGCCCTTACTGTGTCTCACATAACTGGATTGCCTGGTTTAAAGGCAGACTTTGCCATCTCCTTTAAAAGCAAGCTTTAAAATAACAGGGTTTCTGCTTTCATCTATGAAAATTGGGGATGGGGGGAAGGGGTGGGGGGTGGGGAGGGCAAATGTCTGAGTCCAGCCTGGCAATAAGTTTGATAAGGCACAGTCCCCTAACAGAAGTCTTCTGTGATTTTTGCCTCTAAGGTGACATTTATTATATTGTATTATAATTGTCTTGTTTTTCTGTTTCCCCATGGAACTGTGAGCCTCTTGGGTTTGCATTGAGATTCCCCAGTACTTTGGCCAGACATGGTCTTGAACCCTGGGGACAGAGCAGTGAGAGTGATGGATGGAAGAGCCCTGTTCTCGGGAGTTTATGTTCTAGAAACGGAAGTGGGGGATAAGGAAACAACTCAATAAACAAGAGACTTTCTGATGGTGACAGAGCTATGCAGGGAAGAGAACAGAATGGAACGGAGACTGTCTAAGTGACAGGATATCTGGCTGAAAATGGTCTGAGGGATTGACTAATCTCACTCCCAGGAAATCTGGTGGCTCTTCCAGGAGGGAATGGGGCCTCCCCGACATCATTCAGCCAGGAGGGGGGCTTTCACAAAAGGAGGTTTTCAGAAGCCCGCAGCAGGCATCTTACATCTTATTGACCCAAACAGAGTCCCATGCCCACCTCTAGAACAATTACAGATGAAAACAAAAAGAACAAAGGGCACATTCCTTAAGATTCACTAAATGAAGGAATTCTTAGATGGCAGCAAAGAGGAAAAAAAGAAAACCCACTGGATTCAACAAAGGAACCAACATCTTAGCAATCCATTCTCTTTCAACTGCGAAGATCATCCCGTTTTCAAATTCTGGCTCTTCCACCTAGCAGCTGGTTCTCCTTGGGCAGGTTAAAGAACCTCTCTGTGCTTTAGTTTCCTCAGCTGTAAAAATGAGATTCAAGTAGAGTTTCTTGTCAAGAGAAAAAAGATGAATTGCTCCATATAAAAGATGTAGAATAATGCTTAGCAGTTGGTAAGCAAATAATATTTTGTTGTTAGCTATAATCCTAATCTTCATCGTTGGTGCTCGGTGCCAAACCTGTGGCAAGGAGGCATCTTGATCTTTAAGCAGGAGAGAGAATTTCAGTTCTGGGGTCTCTTTTGGCACTGCCTTCCAGAGGAGGTCCGATATTTCTCTGCTTCTATGCCACATGCCAATCCCTTTCTCATTGAAGCCATACCTTTATTATTTATTTAGAACCAGGCAGTGGGGATGCAAATGAACCCCCCCAGTGCCAGCTGCCTCAAGGGTCCCCATCTTTGCAATCACCCCCAGTGCTTCCAGATACTTCAATGGCAATATTTCAACCTGCAGCAGCAGTCCCCACCCAGAGTCTGCCCCGGTCAGCATCCCCAGCTCAGGCTCTGCTGCTGCTGGCTCACATCCCAGGCCCGTGAATGCTGGTGAAGGGAGAAGAGGGTCTGTCTTTCCCCCCGGAGACTTGCCCACCTGTCTTTACCGCAGGTGGGCAAACGTATCCCACAAAGGACCAAAGAGCACATATATTTGCCTTTGCAGATCAGTTTGATCCCAACTACCCAGATCTGAAATTATAGCAAAAGCTGGAAAGAAAAAAAAAGGGAGGGGGCAGCCCGAGTAATATGCAAATTAGTGGGCATGGCTACATTCCAATTAAAAAAAAAGTGATTCGCAAAAACGGATGGATGGGTGGATTTGGCCTTTGGATTTGGCCTTTGGATTTGGATTTGACTGTAGTTTATTCATGCCTTATCTAGACAGTGAAACAGTACTGTTTGTACCCAAAGTTTGATAGGGTTTCTCAAGAACCCTATTAGTTTCTAACACTCAGTCCTCCTAGTAGGAGCTCAGACCCAGGCCAAGAGGCTGTAAAGGAAGATTTTCTCCATTCTCCATCCCTGCCCATTCCTCTCCTCCCCTCTATATCCCCCAGTCAGAGCTCCTTCCTCCTCCCAGTTTGAAGGCGTCCAGTAGCTGCAGACAGAAAATGGGAGTAGGGGCCAGATGAAGTCAATCACACCAATATTTTTCAAACGGCGGGTTGTCATTCATCAGTGTAACATAAAATTAATCAGTACACATTTGAAGAAATAATAGGGAATAAACCATAAAACAAAATCCCAGATAGCACTTCCTATAGCGTTATTTTATGAGGTTTTTTTTTTCAGTTTTGTAAAACAGTTTTACAGATACATATCTGTATGTAGATACAGATAACCATCCATATCTGCTCCTGGATTATGATATAAAAGAAAACGTATTTATTACTGTAGGTTGTGATCACAAATGTTTGGAAGCCAGTGACTGCAGTCTGGGTGTCTGGGGCTCATCTCTGGAGGCCAACATTTGTCCTTCCTACAGAGATGAAGGTGTGGTCTCTGTTCTTAAAGAACTCCACATCTCTGGAGGAAACTGACACGAAAACAGTTACAGCTCGTTGCCATAAGAACTCTGAGATGAGAGCGGGGGACGTCAAGAAAGGTGGCATTTGCTCCTGGTTCTACAGGCTGGACAGGGGTGTGTTTGGCCGATGGGAAAGGCAAGGCAAGCTGAGGAACATCATGTACAGAAGCAGGAAGTGACTCCCGCTATTACGTTGCTCACATATTTGTCCTCCAAGTGAAGTCAGGACCTAAGCAAACATTTGGCTGCTGAGTTTTGTTTGCTTTCCCTGAAATCAAACAGACCAACCAAGTCACTGGCAAACACTGAGTAGGGGTCACTCCAGTACTAACTTATAAATCTCTTTGACCACTGACCCAGCACAAGGTTTTCTGGTCCACTTTCTGGGAAGTGTTCAACCGTCTCCCCCTGAGCCAACTTTTATGATGCAGAAAGACGCAAGTCTGTGTGTAATGTCCTGGTCAATGACCAGGGGAGAGAAAGCTATTAAAAAGGTTGTCCATCCATTCGGTGGCGTGCAGCCCGACCAGCCCGGCCTTCGTAATTCCTATCATCTGGCTGTCAAGAGTAATAGGAGGAGATGTCCCTGATACGACTTACTAGGCCGATCTTTAAAAGCTGTGACTGTCCCCTCTAATTTTAGCTTCAGCCACACTGAGAATACGAGCAGACCGTTAAATCTTATGGAGCCTTGGAGGAGGTGGGAATGGCTTAGAGCTGGGAGACAGAAAACCTGTGTGAATCTTAGCTTATCACTTGATTGCCATGAAAGCATCATTGTACCTTTCTCGGGCTCAGGGCTCTTCTGTAAAATAGGGGTGATAATCATTTCTCAGGGCTATTGAGATAAAATGAGACACCCGTGAAGACACTTTGTAACCTGTTAAGGGA